TATTGAGGTACATTATATCTATCAATATCAAATATTGTTTGTGCTGTTTGGATACTCATTAATTTACCAAGAATATTTATCAAGGGTCTTTTATAGGTCCTTATACACTGAGGAATTAAAGAAAAAGACTCTCAGTGCTAATGGTTCATAGACCAACATCTGAAATATCCAAATAAATACTTCTAAGTGCTATAATATAAAACAATGTGAATTTGTAATTGAAACACAAAAGAGAGTACAATAAAATATGCTTGAGAGTCCAAGAAAACTCAAGATCAATTTATCTTTGTTTCATAAGTAATAATCTCCTATCAGGAAAATAAATAAAAATATATTTAAGCAGAAGAAATAATAAAAATAAAAACACTGGAATATAAAAAATGCTTGTCCTAAAGAATGAAGTAATCTAGAAGAGTGTTTTCAAACTTTAGTCTGTAAACCTGTCAGCTGGGATTAAAAACAAAACAAAATAAAAAACAAAAACCAAAACCACATTCTGGTTTATTAGGGGTGGGATAGGGAGTGAGGTTCTGCATTTCTAAAAATCTCTCATTCGAGGGTATGCTATTTGAAGCAGTCACTAATGATGGCTTCAAGATTTACAGGAAAATATGGAAAAATAAAGGAACAGATGAGTAATTCTAAAAGAAATTGAAATTATATTTTAACATCAAGGGAAATCTTACTGAAAAGCACAGTATCTTAAATTAATAATTCTTAGCAGATTAGCATCAGATGGGATATGGCAGAGAAATAGTTTTTGAACTTGAATTCAAGTCATTAGAAATAATTAAATTTTAAGAACAGAGAGAAAGAAGATAAAATAAAATGGAGACTCAGTAACCTGTGGAAGATTACCAAACATTCTAACATACATATTTGAAAAAATAATGATCAAAATTTCTGAATTTGATGAAAGCATATACTTATGGACTTAAGCTCAATGAACTCTAAAAAGCATTGACACAGAAAATCATACACGGGACTGCTATAACCAATCTGCTAAAAACTAAAGATATTTTCTCTCATCTTCTTTAAAAGACATGAAGGGTTTATCACAAAAATCCTAACAATATATTGGAGTTTATAACATATGTGTATATATATATGTATATATATATATATATATATATATATATATATATATATAGTATTTGGCAACAATAGTATAAAGGATGAATATGGTGGAACTATACTATGGAAGATTCTTACATTTAAAGTGAAGCAGGCCAATATTAAGAGACAGTACATGCATTTATTGAAGATCTATAGTGTAATCACTAGAGTAATCAGTTAAAAAATAATGCATACAATTTTTGCTACAAGAAAATGATAAGGCAAGCCACAAACTGGGGAAAATTTTGCAAAATATATATCCAAAAAGGACCCATATCCAAAATATATAAAGATCTCCTCTTCTTACAATTCAAGAAAATGATAAATAAAATTTAAAAATGGGATAAAGATTTAAACAGACATTACAGGGGAAAAATGTGACAAATAAGCACATGAAAATCTATTTAACTTCATTAGTTACTAGTGAAACGTAAATTTATCATAAATATTAATATACACCCTACAGAAAGGCTAAAAAATAAATATTGACAAGTGTTGGCAAGAGTGTAATATAACCACTAGAATCTCAGACATTGTTGATGGAAATGGAAGATGACATAGTCAATTTGGTAAAGGATTTTGCATTATCTTATAAAATATACACTTTATGATATGGCCTTTCAATTCCATTCCTATGCATTGCCCAAGAGAAATAAAAACAAATGTTCAAACAAAGATCTTTGCATGTATGTTAATAGCTTAATTTATAATAGTCAAAAACTGGAAACAACCAAAACGTCCATAACAGGTCAATTGTTAAACAAGTGGTAGTATAGCCATAGAAAGAAATACAGCTCTACAATAAAAGAAATGAATTACTGAACACCCCAAAGGAAACATATTGAGTGGAGTGCATTTATGTAAAATTCTAGAAAGGGAAAAATTATACTGATAGAAAACACATGGTGGTTTCCAGAAGCCATGGGGATAGAGGAGGGAACTGACTGTAAAGGGTACGGGGGGAACTTTTTTATATGATAGAAAAGTACTACACCATGACTGATGATTAGTACATGACTGTATATGTTTTTAAAAGCCTTCAAATTGTCCACTTAAAATTGTGAATTTTACTGTGCCTAAATTATACCTCAATAAATCTAGCCTTTATATATATAAAAAAAAACTAAACAAAAACAAAGCAAAAACAAACAAAACAAATAAGAGGAGTGCTATCTTCTACATGGAATTAAAAAAAACAAAACACCTGTTCCATTTAATAATGAAAGCAGAGTTGCCCTGTTGGTAAAAATTACCCAGCCCTGAGGTGGACCCAGCATGCCAGGGTATATCATTCAAAATGCTGCTGATGTGACCAGTAAAAAGATGTGAAAATCAAATTATTCATTTTGTGAGTGGTAAGAAAAAATAAATTTCACTTGCAATATTTATAAAAATCCAACTAAATGTATGTAAGCAACTGTTCTGTGTGTGCCAAAATATTAAAATGGAATGGAATGGAATGGAATGGAATGGAATGGAATGGAAAGGAAAGGAAAGGAAAGGAAAGGAAAGGAAAGGAAAGGAAAGGAAAGGAAAGGAAAGGAAAGGAAATAAAGGCAAGGAAATTTCTTTCAGATAAAAGGAGATTCAGAAATAAGAAAACTAAAAATGAATGATCCTGGAATTAATCCTAAACAAGAAAAAAATGAACAGATTTTTATAAATGACACTAATATGATAAGTAATCAAATTTGAATTTGGACTAAGATTTAGAAACTAGTATTGCATCAGTCTTAAATTTTCTGATTTTGATCATGTATTGTGACTATGTAAAGTGAATTTTCTTTTTCTTAAGCAGGTCAGGGAATGGATAATTAGAACTAGATTTAATGCAATGGTAGTAGAAATGGCTGCTTTATATTGTTTCTGTGTTTTAAAGGAAATTGTCAATTTAATCTGTTTTTGCCTTTGTTAAGGAATAAGTAATCATGTCGTCTATTATGGCCTTTTCAAAATTTTTGCCTACTTTATGTCCTAAGATTCTAAATTTGTTTCAACTTGCTACAAAAAAGCTAGTCCATATATCCTTCTGTAAAATATATGAAAACAGAAGAAATAGAGCAAAGGGAATTCTAAACACGGAAATTTAATTTTCATAAACAGAAGTGTAACAAATTCTGTAAAGATTGTAGCACTAAATCATTCAGAATGCATTTCTGTGGTTGTGTCATACTAAGTGTTAGGAAAACAAACTAATATAGAAAGGAATCTCCCAGACAGACTCAGAATTCATGGTTTCGCATACTGCCTTAACGATGCATTACTGGCTTCCTATTCCTTGGAGAGCTCTTCTACTTTCACCTCCTACTATTCAACAGGAAAGCCAGCATCAGAACACATGCTGAACTCAGCCTCAATTCAAATTTCACAGGATGATTAGGAGGTATTAAAAGCAATTTAGCACATAACTGACACTTTCTTCCAGAAAAAAAAAAAAAAGTTGACTAGGCATTGACGGGTGCAAAAAAGGATGAGTATTAGAGCATTTGCACTATGAATGAAGTACAGGAATATGTGAAGCTGGATCATGGGGAAAACATGGCTGTCTTCTCTCACAGTGATAAACTCTAAAGGTGGGGGGGGGGAACGTAGTGCAAAGTGATCCTGATAGGAGTAACAGCTGCCCCCTCCAACACCTGCACATTCAAAACTGAAAGAAAATCCTGTTACAGATTCACATGAAATTGAGAAAGAACAAAATGTGCAATATAACAATGAGAGTCTGAGAGTGTGAGCCAACTGTACTTGATTCCAATAATTATTTTGGCATTTACTAGATTCTAACTTTAATCTTCAGTTTCCTTTTCTATAAAATAAACCCTATTATGCATCTCAACAAGTTACATTAATAGTTGGAGAAATAATGTATACAAAATTTAGTGTAATACTTAACTCATAATAAGTCCAGAGTAAATAAAAACTTATTATACTCAGGGCATGAACAATTTATATTTTATGGTATTCTATAACTTATATTTATGACAATCTCAGGGATCTATCCCAATACTGAGTATCCCAGTTTTTCCAATCCACTTTTATATTTACTTTCTGATGAGGTACTGAGATTAGTTGGGAAACAGGAACTGTTGCAAGGAAATAAGCTGAAGCAAAAGTAGGAGAACTAAAAGGATACTATAGGGAACTCTACAGATTTTTTTAAAGATTTTATTTATTTATTTATGAGAGAGAGAGATACATGAGTGCTCACATCTGGGTGGTGGTGGCAGAAGGGGCAGAGAGAGAGAGAGAGAGAGAGAGAGAGATTGAGAGAGAGAATATTAAGCAGGTTTCACACCCAGTTCAGAGTTCCACATGGGGCTGGATCTCTTGATCCTGGGATTATGACCTGAGCCAAAACCAAGAGTCAGATACTTAACCAATTGAGCCACCTATGTGCCTCTAGAAAGACTGTCAGTTAAGAAAAATGTGCAGAAAAAGAAATGTAGCTTCAATGCCCTTCTTTCACTGTTATCCTCTTCTCTACAGAGGCAGCTTGGTTTCCTGGTGAGAAGCTCTGGCAAGGGGACCAGATGGCCAGGTCTTAAATCCTGGCTAACTTGTTGACTAACTATGTAATCTTAGGGATAAAAACAATATTCATTTACCGATTTCTTGTGAGACTTAAATGAGTTAAACATGGAAAGCATTAGAAAGAACATGTGTCTGGTTTATAGATGAAACCAACTCAATATAGAGAAAGGACTTCACCCAGTAATATAATGCTCTGATCACTCTGAATGTTTTTCATGATTATCAATTTGCCATGAAAAAAGAAAAGAAAGAAAAGAGGAGGAGGAGCAAGAGAAGAAGAAGGGCAGCAGCAGTCTAAAGACACACATCATCCTTAGTCGTAATACAATATTATGGGAACAAAAATATCATACCTTGTAGACTGCCAGGTGCCAGGACTGTAAATCCATTTCTTGTCAGTCGAGATGGGCGAAGTCCTTTTAACATAAGGGTTCTAACATGTGACTTGTTGCCTGAAAGAGAAAAGTGAAAGAAGGCTGAATGGTTGTGGGGGTAGACCAAGTGACTTTGAAATCTTTCTTTGACTTAATGATAAATTCACACTGATGTATGAAAATGTCAGCTCCGTGGCACTGGCTGGTTCAGGTGGTTGAGTGGTTGGGTTCAATGTCTGACTCTTGATTTTGGCTCAGGTCATGTTCTCAGGGTTCTGGGATCGCCTGCCTTGGGCTCTCTGCTCAGGGTGGAGTCTGTATGTCCCTCTCCTGACCGCCCCCCCTCAACTCGCTCATGCTCATGCTCTCTCTCTCAAATAAATAAAATATTTAAAAATATCAGACGGCTAGTCTGCAGGCCATTTCTAAAGTTTTCTATTAACTGATAGCCTTCCTTGTTCGTGAACATTTCTATTTCACTTATAGAACTTTCTATCAATGCTGCATTATTTTAATGCACTTGTGTTACATTTTTTCTGTAGTATTCTCATCATCAGTTGATTTTAAAATATATAAAAAGAGTCATTTTAATATGCTGTTAGTGAAGAGAGGAGGCAAGGTGGCAGAAGAGCAGGGATCCTCAATTCACCAGGTCCCACAGACGTACCTAGATTGCTTTCAGAACACCCTCAACACCCAAGACTTCGATCTGAGATGTAAAGAGAGAAGGGCTGGAAGGCTACAGAGAGAAAAGTGATCACTCCTGTGGAGTTAGAGAGGAGAACAAAGATGGAGGAGGAGAGCCCCAGCAAGTGGGGCAACCAAGAAACCATGGGGAGGTGAGCCGTGCAGCCTGGGAAGAATAAATATTGTGAAATGTCTATGCTATAATGTCTATGCTATAAGGGCAATTTACACGTTCAGTGCAATCCCTATGAAAATACCATGGACTTTCTTTAGAGAGTTGGAACAAATCATCTTAAGATTTGTGTGGAATCAGAAAAGACCCCAAATAGCTAGAGGAATGTTGAAAAAAAAAAAAAAAAAACAATGCCGGGGACATCACAATGACTGACTTCAAGCTGTACTACAAAGCTGTGATCATCAAGACAATGTTGTACTAGCACAAACACAGACACATAGATCAATGGAACAGAAGAGAGAACCCAGAAATGGACCCTCAACTCTATGGTCAATGCATCTTTGACAAATAAGGAAAGAATATCCACTGGAAACAGGGTAGTCTCTTTGATAAGTGGTGCTGGGAAAATTGGACAGCCATGTGCAGAAGAATGAAACTAGACCAATCTCTTACACCAGGCACAATGATAAACTCAAAATGGTTGAAAGATCTAAACGTGAGACAAGAATCCATCAAAATCCTAGCGGAGAACACAGGCAACACCCCTTTGAACTTGGCCACAGCAACTTCTTGCAAGATACATCAATGAAGGCAAGAGAAAAAAAAGCAAAAATGAACTATCGGTACTTCATTAAGATAAAAACTTCTTCACAGTGAAGGAAACAATCAACAAAACTAAAAGACAACCTACAGAGTGGGGGAAGATAATTGCAAATGACGTATCAGATAAAGGGCTAGTTTCCAAGATCTATAAAGAACTTATCAAACTCAACACCCAAGAAACAAACAATCCAGTCATGAAATGAGCAGGAGACATGAACAGAAATTTCTCCAAAGAAAACATAGACATGGCCAAATGCTCCACATCACTTGCCATCAGGGAAATACAAATCAAAATCACAATGAGATCCCACCTCATATCAGTGAGAATGGGGAAAATTAACGAGACAGGAAACAACAAATGTTGGGGAGGATGTGGAGAAAGGGGAACCTCTTGCACTGTTGGTGGGAATGTGAACTGATACAGCCACTCTGGAGAACAGTGTGCGGGTTCCTCAAGAAGTTAAAAATAGAGATACCCTATGACCCAGCAATTGCACTACTGGGTATTTCTCCCAAAGGTATTGATGCAGTGAAACGCCAGGATATCTGCACCCCAGTGTTCATAGCAGCAATGTCTATAATAGCCAAACTGTGGAAGGAGCCATGATGTCCTTCCACAGATGACTGGATAACGAAGATGTGGTCTATATATGCACTGGAATATTACTCAGAATCAGAAAGGACAAATACCCACCATTTGCTTCAACATGGATGGAACTGGAGGGTATGATGCTGAGTGAGGTAAGTCAATCAGAGAAGGACAATCATCATATGGTTTCATTCATACGGGGAATATAAGAAATAGTGAAAGGGATTATAAGGGAAAGGAGGGAAACTGAGTGGGAAAAATTAGAGAGGGAGATAAACCATGAGAGACTCCTAACTCTGGGAAACAAGCAAAGGATTGTGGAAAGGGAGGTGAGTTGGAGGATGGGGTGACTGGGTGACGGGCACTGGGGAGTACTTGATGGGATAAGCACTGAGTATTATATGTTAGCAAATTGAATTTAAATTAAAAAAGTAAAAAAAAAAAGCTATTAGTGAAAAAGCTTAGATAGAAATCTAGTTGTACAGGATGTCTCAGAACATTATTAGCAATAGAGTTTATTTAGATTAAAGAAATCTGGAAGAAATGACTAAGGTTGAGAAAGCATGTTTAAATTTGGGAGGAAGATCTGTGAAGCAGATCCTGCTTAGTTTGGGAGGAATGGTTAAGAAATATGATTAGAGTCAGTATTTCTGCATTAGGGTTTTCTTTAAAAACCTGAGTTCAATGAATAGTAGTTGGTATTAACAAAGTTAATATTAATCATTCGTTATTTAATAAATTGATTAAGTATCTACCATATGACCGTACTTGGGATTCATTAAGGAACAAAATAAAACAGAATGTGAGCCAAATCAAACTCTTCCTTTTGATCAATCTTCACTTTGAGATTTTCATCTTTGGCATTTATCTTACCTTACACATATTTTACTACAGATTGTAAAGCAATTGCAATGTGTTATTTTAGGGAATGCTTTAAGTGCTTCTGAATTTAACCTAGTCTCTGACTGGCATGGCCAATACTGAAAAATGATTTTTTTTTTTCCAAGCAAATTAAGTGACTTGGTTCAGCATAGGAACACAATGCAACCTAAAGTCAGAGCTAAATCAATTGGAACATCTGCCTGGTAGTTACTGCTTCAACTGAAGGTTTTCAGGGTTTTAGGGATAAAGCAAAAAAGAAAATTGAGCATGAATAGAATTGTCCTTTGGACTATTCAGCAACTAAAATAATTGATCACATAGACATATAACTAGTTTATGAAGTATTGGGTTTCAAGCACTCACCTCCACATATGCAACATAGATGAAGTAGAGACAGCCCATTTTCTGTGCGGTAATTTAAGTTGACTTTACTGAAGGCATCATCAGAGCTGAAAAAAATTTTTTCATGTGATCAAAAATTTCACCTTTTAGTTTATTAATTTTCACTTCAAAAACTATAAAAGGGAATCATGTTATTATAAATTCAGAAATATATCTTTTCTAGGGTTTTGATGTACCTAGAAAAAGAATTTTGAAAATGTATCCATATGAAGAATAATTTAAGTCCAGAGAAAGTAATTTGAAAGTTTGAGAGACCAAGTTTAAATTAATGACTGGTGTGCAGTTTTGTGTTCTACGTATAATTCAAACTTTCCAAGGCAACTTTATGAAATAAAACTTATGTATAATAGAAACATTATAGAAAACAGACATTTGAAAGTAAACTCATTCACATTCAGAATTTCACCTCACATTTATGGAGAAATTCAAGAAATCTCTCCAAAAAGGAAAAAAAACAAAAACCAAAAACAAAACGTAGAATTTGATGAGAGATTGAAGAGAGGAATATAATCCCGATGTTTTACAAATTCTGCCTGAAGCAAAGTTTCCTTGTACTCTGACAGGGTCAGATTTCACAGATAAAGAAGGTCTAAACTCTGATCAGGTACTATGATACAATCCCTGGAGGAGAGGAGTGTTAGTGATTCAATTAGTAAAATCCTTGACTTTGTCTGAACAAAGACCATTGCCCCAGGAGGGCCCCAGAGAGCCACAGGTAGCCTTGGAAAAGGAATGTCAAACTGAAATTCCTGACCTCTTCAAGTCCTTCGTACTCCCAGGGCATTTTTCAGTAGAAATGAGATCATATCCTTGGCCTCCCAGGTCAATTTCATGCTGCTTCCTGCCTATTTAAATCTCCAGCAGCTTTAGTGAGATATCATAGTCTTTGGGAGTGAGCCTTCCATATCATTTGTAAAGTACTTACACTTGAAAGGTACTAAAATTCAGGACATTATCATCATGGCACCCAGTTAAGCACTTCAAAAGCTCTTGGAATATTTAAAATACAAAAGAAAAGGTGCTATTGCCAGGGCGCTGCTAAAATGAGAAAACCTCTAAATCTAGGGACATTGAAGGATCTCAATGAAAAGCTTTCAGTAGCAAGGGCAAGCCCAGTGGTTTGTTTTCAGAGAACATTCTAGAACTTCCCTATCCTCATAACCTTCTTGCTTTCCCTGTTCAACTTTTCAGCGGCAAAGTCCACAGACATGCTTATTCATATTGAGAAATATACCTCAACTTGCTTTGGAATGCTATATGTAGAAGTACAATAACTCAGTCATCTTTACACATGTTAATATAAGAGAGCAAGGAGACAAGGAATTTGGGAAAAATAGGTAAGAGTTTAATTCACTCCTTTCTGTACTTTTCCCTAGTTCAATGAAATATGTAAAAAAACAAAACAAAACAAAACAAAAAACAAAAATTCTGATGAAAATACTACTGTTTTAAACGTCTATTGAAAATGAACCTAATTGTAAATGGTATACCTATTTTATGGTATGTGCATTAACTTCACAAAATAACATGGTTCTTGGAAATGTGTGGCCTTGGCCTGAGCCAGGCTTCTAAACCCTTATAGCCAATTGTATTACAGATGTCTTGGAGAAATTAAACTTAATAGGTAGTACTAAACAAAGTGCACTCAGCAGCTCAGACTTACAAGTGCATTCACAGAGGTCTTCTCTGTGGTTATGATTTCAAATAGTACAGGTTTTCTGAAGAGCTGAACTCTGCTTTTAAAGCTCGGCAGATGGGATTTTTCTCTTAAGGTTTGTAGGAAATCAGTGTCCATAAATAAAAAATATAAAAAAAAGGAAAGAAAATTGTGACTAGCACTTGAAAATGTTGATTGACAATGATTTGGAAACTGTGAGCTGCATTGCCTTTTCTTTCTTGGTCCTTCCATTACCCAGCAGTGAAAACACACAATAAGATCAAAAGACAGAAAACAAAGTATTGCATGGGGAAGGAAAGGGAAGCTTCTGTTAAATGTAAAGAAATATGTAACCTTCAGCCTAAAAGAAGAGGGAAAGAAGTACCTTTTGGGCTAACTATAATGAACTTAATGGCAAACGCTGAAAGAGGAGGCTTGGGGGCTTCTCTGTAGCAAAAAACCCTTGAGAAAATTAGTTTTTCAATGTGTATCTCTAATATTATATAGCAATATCTGCCATCTTTTGATGTTTTAAAAGTGGAATCATTTCAGCAGTGTAGGTAATCCTTGGCAGCTATTTGCACCAGGATTGAAATCCTATCCTGCTTCTACCTTTTAAGTAGTCTTTTTTCCCCCTCCTCTCCAATTTGGACAAGTTGTTAAACCTCCTCAAGCTGTAATTTCTTCAGTTATAAAGTGATTAAAATAATACGTAGAGATTATATTGTTGTGAAGAATACACGAGTTTGGGGCTTCCTGTAGTACCTAGCACATATGTTATCAATAAATGGTTATTTTATTATTATTATATTATTAACAAGATCACTGAATGTACAACTTCCCCTGCACAGTCTAAATCTTGGGAGAGTTTTAGCACAGTTTTCAAACTAAGTTTGACCTTCTTCAATCTCTCACATTTGACAACCTGTAAAATTTCCTGATTTTGACAATTCTATAGATGTAAGTATTTAATGCTCATGGTGACTCTCATTCGGGCTCCTAGAAAATGTCTGACCTTGTCTTCATACACTCTTAAAAATGATTACCAAGTTGGCTGTTGTGACACCTAGCACCTCTCAGTGATTCAGAACAACTACTAGAATCACAATCTTGTAATATAAGTCCAGAGCATCATGTCAATGGTAAGGCTATTTTCAACACTGGAGATACTAAAACAAAAAAAGAGGAAGAAAACAGGAGATCTTGAAAATCCAAACGGGAACAAAAAAATTACACTGAAAAGTTTTATGAGAAGACATATTCAGTTGCTTTCTTATTCCATGATCTAACGTTGATGATGTGTTCAAACAGTCTGGCACCACATCTACTAAACACCAACTGTGTGCTCCACCTCTGTTCTTAATAATCATGTTCTCAACATCTACTTCCTATGAACTACTCACTATTCCTGGATCCTTTAAGTGCATCAGTGCTGGGAAAATGCATGCTAGATAGAATTCTGCAACTGATCTCAGCATTAGTCCTGGTCCTGGTCTCTAATGCCCCAATCAGCTCTGCAAAGAGAGTAAACGCTGAATAAACAGAAAATACAAGGTGCTAAAATGTATTGCTTTATCTAAAATAAGAACAACCCTAAATGAATACCTATTGTTTACTAAAGTAAAATTGAAAGCATGAATTATATTAGTGACTTTCTGTTCAATAATCAATTCTTAGCTCACTGAATCTTAAAGTAGACTTGACCATCCATACGTAACTCAGTATGGAGTCCTAAAGAGCTCCTTGCTCAAAACTAAACTATTGCCTGTTGTTTTTGTTCTTCTCTTGAATTATATCCTCCTTGAACTCATGCAACTTCTATTAATGCCAACAAAATGAATCAACTGAAAATAGGCTCCCACAATATTTGGCAGTCAAGTGCAATTTTAATAGTACAATTTTTATCTTAACTTTAATAACTGGAATGTAATTTTTTTAATGAGAGTTACTCTGGGGCTATATTTGAATCCTAATTCTCACTTCCCATTAACTTCTAGTCAAATGTTTCTGTTTTGAAACATGTAATTAAAATATTCAAGGTTTTAATGCAATCATTCCTAGGAGAGATATTTCATATTCTCTTCTTTTGCCTCTTCTAAAGGAACTGTGTATGTCAAATTCGCTGTCAATTGAACATCACTTATGTATTCTAATACCCTAAGCTCAATTTATTTTTTAATTTTCCCTTACATTTTTCATCACCTGCCATGCCATACTGTAACTTAACATATCCTAATGAGTTCATAGTGCTTGCTAGGGTATGGATGAAGTTCCTAATTAAAATGAAGTCACTATTATGAATATATTTCTAACAGTAAATTCTGTCCTTAATCATTAAAAATGGTAGTTCTGTACCCAAAGGTTACTTTCTTTCTTGTAGCATAATGAACTCTTTTCTTAGCCTTTACCTTTTATTCAGGAAAGTATGCAGTTTTGTGATCCAATTAAACTTCTTTCTCATGACCTCACCCTTTCAAGAAAGTATCTGACATGATCACAATTGGAAACTAATTAAAATGTAACATTTGAACATTTGGCCAAAAATAACATACTACTGTCCAAAATATTCTGAAAGGTGGATGCATTTTATAGATTAATTCTTGTGCTGAAATTTAGGGAAAGACCAAGAAGGTTGCAAGAAGAAAAGGATTTGTTATAGATCAACTACTTTTCCAAACTGATAATTTAGGTTTTTAAATGGCTGATTATAAATTCGTTTTTGTTTGTTTTATTGAACTTCAAATTAGTTAACATATAGTGTATTACTAATTTCAGGAGTACAATTTTGTGATTCATCAGTTGCATAAAACACCCCATTTTCATTACATCAAGTGCCCTCCTGAATGCCCATCACCCAATTACTCCATCCCCCTTCCTATATCCCCACTAGCAATCCTCAGTTTGTTCTCTATAGTTAAGAGTCTCTTATTGTTTGTCTTCCTCTCTGTTTTTATCTTAGTTTATTTACCTTCTCTTCCCCTATGTTCATCTGTTTTGTTTCTTAAATTCCTCAAATGAGGGAAGTCATTTGGCATTTGTCTCTGACTGACTTATTTCACTTAGATAACACCTTCTGGTTCCATCCATATCATTGCAAATGGCAATTTTTTATTCTTTTTTATGGCTGAGCAACATTCCATATATATTCCATATATATTCCATGAATATATATTCATCAGTGGTGGACATCTGGGCTCTTTCCACATTTTGGCTATTATGGATAGTGTTGCTATTAACATTGGGGTGCATGTGCCCCTTTGAATCACTATTTTTATATCCTTTGGGTAAATACCTAGTAGTGCAATTGCTGTGTCATAGGGTAACTCTATTTTTAACTTTTTGAGGAAACTTCATACTGTTTTCCAGAGAGTTGGCCCAGTTTGCATTCCC